GGTTGTTCCCCTGCCATTTCTCTCGTTTTCGTCGCCGCCGGATTTCTGCGGAACGACACGTGCTCGTATTCGCCTCGGAGAATACTGTCTAAACTCACATTTTGTACAAGTTACGTCAGCAACAAAGGTCGTCTTTCAAATCCGAATCCGGGTGCGATTTTAAAAATCGACCTCTTATCTCTCATCGCATTTTTAACGCTCGTTTGACAACCTTGAGTGAATTTGGATGAATTTCGTACATCGCATAGTTGCTATTGTTGGCAAGATTTATAGGAGGAAATTATCTTCTTCTTGCTTTTTCCAGCAGGAAAATAGACTTTAAAATTGTCTCTTTTTCCCTTTCTGTCCTTTCTAAGAAAAGAAGTTAAAGCGCCGGAAGCTGCATTGTTATCTCGAGATATCATGGTTTTATGGTATCTTTCGTTTTTTCAATGTAATCGTGCGTGATTACGATGAAAGCTAAAGGGCTGGGCCTTGCATTAATATACGCGTATCTAAAGGACACGCTCGTGACCACGGTCACGAGAAGTATATTCTCGTTAATGCATGACGTAACGATTAATTAATTTCATGATCATATAAAGACTAAGCGGGCGTAAACTATACGGATATTATTACGGCATAAAAGATGAATACTTTTATAAAATAGGATTATTCTATAGCAATAAAGTAAATTATAAATATAGCCGTGAAATTTCATAGAATGTGCAATATGTTCAGGATTCTCATCACAACGGTCGCACCAGCATTTTTAACATTTTGTAAGTCCCAATAATATCCCCTCTCTATTTATTATTATCGGAGATTTGCCTCTCTCTACAGAAAAGCATTTTGAGAATGATAGAATTTTCTTACAACAAACCATTGCATATTATTGCGAAAAGATATGAAGACAAGTTTTTAGAATTCTTGTTGGCGCGAATTCTTGTCAACTCGAATAAAATCTGAGATTGCTAACTTAACTCGAGTTTGTCATTCTGCCTGCAAAGCGTGCTAACTTTGTACACACGTGTGCGTGGAATTTTAAACTGTCAGCAGATTTGCCGATTGTGAAGAACTGTTTGCAAAAATTTGAATTCGTGCAAATTCCATTATATAAAAAAATATAAATTCTTTAACTTTTTGTTCTTAATTTTACATTTCTTTACGTAACATGTCATTCTATTTCGAGACTATAATTAATACAAGATTCTAAATGTGAGAATGTGTTATTTTTTTGCAACATCGCGTAATGTAAAATTATTTCACGGAATTAACACAGCTTAACGCTATCTAATGATCTTCAATGGCAAAGATGTTTGATATGTTTCCTTTAAACAACTACAAAGCTTACAAAGTAGTATCTCTACAATGATTGCGAGAAAAATGGAACAATGTTTCACACGATGTTTTCTCGGAAGTATATGATTTTCAAATGCCTTTGTCACTTGTTCGCCACACTTCTCGCAACGTTCATGGTGAAAGAACCGGTCAAGTTGATTAAACCAGTTAGCTACTGCTGGTTTCTCGAGTTGAGCAGAGTGGGGTACATCTACGTGAGTAAATGATGACGATGATGACGACAGACAAAGGCCGACAGCCTTTGATAAGTGCCCCCGCCTTAATTAATCATATTTTTTTAAATCGTGCACGTGACATTTGGTGGAAGACATTGGACAATATTTCTCCAAATGATGCAAGCCTAGAGATACAAAAACCATATTTGTCTGCCATAGCGGATATCACAAAAATAAGTATTAATTGATAACAATTAAGTAATTCTTTATGTTTCCTCAGTTCATTTATTCTACTTATGTTATTTAGATTTCCTATTATTTTGTTTCATTTATTATTTATTTCATATATCACTTATTGATTTAATATTATAAAATATATGTCACTCAGTAAGTGCTAAAGTCATAAACCGTTTTGATTATATCTCTCGCTAGTTGAAACGCGATTTTTTACGGCGTTACGTAATCATAGGTACATATCATATCAAGTGAAAAGAGGTTTATGTTCTATCGGTCGCGGCAATAAATCCCGTCATGAGCACACAGGCGGAATTTTGTCGTCGCTCTTCGTTTCTGTTCGTGACCAGAGTTTTTAGTTACTAAATCAAATGGATTTCCACAAACTTTATTCAACTCGAAAAGAATAAAATGTAAAATGCCAAATGTAACTATGCATCTTCTTTTTTCTCAGCGTTAATGTGTCTAAAAATTGTAATAATTTCGATAATGCATCACATTGCATTATCATTTATGCATACATCATTATTATTATAATAATAATTAAAAATTATACCACTTATTATGATGTATTTTTCTCTTTTCAAGCGATCAGTTGTTTTTTATTGTTGAAATTTGCAAATTATTATTGAACGTCATCACTTTTGAGTGAGTGTGAATCCACCGATCGACGATGGTTTTCTTCTCACGATCGCCGCCGCCGCCGCCGCCGCCGCCGCCGCCGCCGCCGCCGCCACTGCCGTGGCTCGATCTCGTACGAATTGTCCGTATTGGGTTACGGATGCAGAAACAGGTTTGGCATCGTGCGATCGCCGGGCTGAGAGAATGCCGTCGCCGACGCGCCGGATTCGAGAAGTTGCTAATACACGATCGAGAAAAATGGAGAACCTTTGTCCCCATCGGATCCGGGACACCAGTTTTGTCCGCTGCATCGCCCGCGAAATGGAGAAAAGCAGACAAAAAGAAGGAAATTCTCGTAACGTTCGTTCTGGGCAGATATGATTGTAATACTATATTAGTGTCCTATTACATTATTACGTGATATATAATTAATATAATTTTTTAGAATTGAAACAATTCAATTAAGAAGAATCATTGATTTTTTTCAAGCTTTATTATTAATATAAAATTGGAATTTGTCTACTCTTACTTTTTCATATTGCTAAGTTTTTAATTGTTAGTAGAAGATACTGTACATACCGTATGACTAAAATAACGCTAAAAATAATTTAAAGATTAAAGAAATTTACGCGCGGTATTATAAAATTAATAACGCACAAGATTTAAGAATCATAAACTTATCTTACGACGCTAAAGCGACGTGATTATGAGAATTTAGCGGTGAAAGGCGAATATATAATGAATAAGCTATTAAATATGGAAAGATTTTTTTCAAGAGGATCAAAGGCTATAAAGGCTATATAGCCTTTACGATTTACGAAACCAAATACGGAGACGCACAGCGAAATTCTGTCGATTCAACGGTTAACAGGTAATAGGAGGGTGATTTATGCTCACCAGTTGCGTCGCGTGATATAGAAACTGGAGCGTTTTGTAGGTCGAAACGAGAACGATCGCGGTCATAACGTGATTTCCTCATATGTGTGCGCGTACATGTGAACTAATAACAGTTGCTAATGCAGAAAGAGAAAGAGTGGCGAGCGCGAGTGCAATCGGGGGACGTGATTTATGTACTCGAGTGTTATTTAT